GTAGCAAACTTCATATGACCACACAGCGGAAGGTGGTTAAGCTGCAAAAGGCATGAAGTACTCATACCCGTTACAACATGAAGGAACCGTGAAAACATGCCAGGTGAAAACAAGGCAGTCACCAAAGACAACATGCTGTATCATTCAAAAGAGGGGTATCTAGAGAGACAGGACATAGGGTAGCACATGTCCAGGGCCGGAGGACGTGGGATGTGGGGGCTAATGAGGAGGGGTTGCTACATGGGGCTTCCTTCTGGAGTGATGGTTGCACAACCTTCTGATTATGCCGCAAACAACTGAGTTGTGCACTTTAAACAAGTAACTTTATGATGTGTCAACGATGGTTCAATAAAGCTATTAAGAAAGTAAGAGCCTTGGCGTGCCTGGGTGGCTCAGTCAGTGAAGCGTCCGACCGTTGACTTCGGCTCAGGTCATGATCTCGCTGTTCATGGGTTTGAGCCACACGCTGGGCTCTCTACCAATAGCTCGGAGCCTGCTTGGAATTCTCTCTCCCTCTCTCTCTCTCTCTGCCTCTCTCCCACTTGTGCGCTCTCTCTTGCACACGCTCTCTCGCTCAAAATAAATAAACACTTAAAAAAAAGAAAGTTGATATGTACAAACAGTACATATCAGTTGATATGTACAAACAGTAACCAGTTAGGAGATTAGGTGGAATTGAACATTGCATTTGCAGTAACAACAAAAATAACTGGAATAAATTTACAAAAAAAAAATGTGTAGGATATAAGGAAATTTAAAATCTCGTGGAAGATAATAAACTTTGATTGTATGCTTTCCTGGTTTTCTCCAACACTTTTGTATTTGTGCCTATGAAGATCTAAAACCTCCATTTTGACTGGAGAACATACACTTTTTTTCAAGGTGCAAAAATGAAATGAAAACCCAAAACATCCTGATAACGTGACCTTTTTTATTACTTTCTAATGGACATGTTTTTATGAAAATAACTATTCTAAACATAAACTCTCCCTCAACTAGTGTAGACCACAATATGATCATTGATTTTGCTAATACTTTAGCATCATACTTTTGGTTTTCTTAAGGAAACCAATCTGGGTCAGTCTTTTTCAAGAAAAGAAAGAAATTCTACTTGGTAACCTGGAGTTCTTTAAAATATTCATGGGGGCACCTGGGTGGCTCAGTTAAACATCCGACTTCAGCTCAGGTCATGATTTCACGGTTCGTGAGTTCGAGCCCCGTGTCGGGCTCTGTGCTGACAGCTCAGAGCCTGGAGCCTGCTTCGGATTCTGGCTCTCCCTCTCTCTCTGACCCTACCCCACTTGTGCTCTCTCTCTCTCTCCCTCCCTCCTTCAAAAACAAATAATAAACATTAAAAAAAAATTTAATAATATATGTTTTGAGGGGGCGCCTGGGTGGCTCAGTCAGTTAAGGATCCAACTTCAGCTCAGGTCATGATCTCACGGTTTGTGAGTTCGAGCCCCATGTAGGGATCTGTGCTGACAGCTCAGAGCCTGGAGCCTGCTTCACATTCTGTGTCTCCTTCTCTCTCTGCCCCTCCCCCGCTCGCACTCTGTCTCTCTCTCTCTCTGTCTCTCTCTCTCTCTCAAAAATAAATAGACATTAAAAAAATTTTTTTTAAATATACTCTTTGATATGTCTGACTGGCTCAGTCAATAGAGCATACAACTCTTAATCTTGGGAGTTGTGGGTTCAAGCCCCACGGGTGTAGAGATTACTTAAAAATAAAACTTTTAACATATTCCTTGATACAGAATGATCTCAAGTGACATTTAAATGTCCTGTTTCATGCAGTCTTACTGTTAGAAACCAAGAAGAACAGAGACCCAGGAGGGCCTCCCATGAGCTCAGACGAGAAGACCTTCCAACCTGTGAAGAAAGGTAAAGTCTCATTATTGTTTAGCTTACCAAATTGACAGAATGCTAGCCTTGTCATTTTGAGTTTTTTGCACTGTAACACACAGTTCCTCTAACTGCAACTTAATAACATCAAATCATAATGTGGCACCACATTTTCTCTCTGCAGAATTCATTATGTGACAGGGAGAAAAATTAGTTCCGTTATTAATCTCATCCCTGCTAATCACAAATATAAATCGATGCTTCTTGACTAAACATGACGTTATCCTATTTTCATAAAGCAGACTTTTAAAAAGACCATAGTGAGGGGCTTCTGGGTGGCTCAGTCAGTTAAGCATCCGATTTCGGCTCAGGTCCTGATCTCGCGGTTCGTGGGTTTGAGCCCCGCGTCGGGCTCTGTGCTGACAGCTCAGAGCCTGGAGCCTGCTTCGGACTCTGTGTCTCCCTCTCTCTCTGCCCCCCTCCCCCATTTGTGCTTTGTGTGTGTGTCTCTCTCTCAAAAAAATGAATAAACATTTAAAAAAAAACAGTAAAAAGACCATAGTGAAACACACACATGTTTGGTTTTCAGGAAAGTTCTAAAGGTCTGTTTTTTTCTTAACTATAAATTTATACTTCAGCTAATGTATGACTGTTTTAAGTATTTTGGGGGGGGGAAAGTCGGGAAGAAAACATGTAAATTACTTTCCATGGTGTCAGATTTTTAAATTCTCTTTTTTTTTAAGTTTATTTATTTATTTTGAGAGAGAGAGAAAGCAGGAGAGGGGCAGAGAAAGAAGGAAAGAGAATTCCAAGCATGTTCTGCCCTGCCAGCGTGGAGCCTGACCTGGGGCTCAAACTCATGACCACGCGGTCATGACCCGAGCCAAAATCAAGAGCTGGATGCTTAAGTGACCAAGCCACCCAGGCACCCCAAATTACCTCTTCTTGTTCCTGTACTGACTTACTTTCACTTCCCTATTCTAGTACTTTTTCTTGGTATTATGCCTGTATAATTACAGATACTAGACAAATACCCTAAAAGTTGTGTTCAAATAGGTCTTGTATTACATTGCTTATTTTTGAAGGGAAAACAAAACAAGTAGCCTAAAAGGTTACTTAAGTGTGTGGGTTTTTTTTTTCCCCCATTCTTTATCTTCTTTATCCTTACCCAGATTTCTCAAAGTCTGGGAAGCATATTAAAATATTCCACAATTTGGGGCACCTGGCATGCTCAGCTGGAGGCGTGTGAGGCTCTTGACCTCAGGGTCATGAGTTTGAACCCCACACTGGATGCTGAAATTAGTAAAAAAAATAAATAAATAAAAACTTTTTTTAAATCTGGCAAAATTTATGAGTTTGTTTAAAAATAGCCTTTATCTTGAGGGCGCCTGGCTGGCTCAGTTGGAAAAGCGTGTGACTCTTGATCTGGAGGTTGTGAGTTCAAGCCCCATGTTGGGTGTAGAGATTACTAAAACAAACAAACTTTTTTTTTTTTTTCAACGTTTTTATTTATTTTTGGGACAGAGAGAGACAGAGCATGAATGGGGGAGGGGCAGAGAGAGAGGGAGACACAGAATCTGAAACAGGCTCCAGGCTCTGAGCCATCAGCCCAGAGCCCGACGCGGGGCTCGAACCCACAGACCGCGAGATCGTGACCTGGCTGAAGTCGGACGCTTAACTGACTGCGCCACCCAGGCACCCCCAAACAAACTTTAAAAAATGACTTTTATCTTATGTATTCTAGTATGTTGTATTCTGTACCAAAGCTTGAAGGCTCTTCTGTCTGGAACCAGAATGCCCACTCTAGGCCTGGCTGTACCCATCCTGCCAGTGTGAACTCGGGCACTTAGCCACACTCTGCCTCAGTTTCCTTGTGTGTGGAATGGGGATAATACTAGTTTATCGTGGCTGTTGTCGTGAGCCTGGGAGCACGCAATATTTGCTGGCCATTACTTGCTCTCGATTAAATTCAATAATGTGAAATGACTCTTTCTAACTTAATGCCTTGTGTTTCCCATTCTACTTAGACATTATTATTTGCATTTGCCTCGTATGTCTTTGCCTGTCTATTTGTTCTTAATTTTTTAAATACTTAGTAAGCTTCCTGAAAATAGCATTACGCCGGATTTTGGCCCAGGGTCGGTCTGTCTCTAAATGGGGAATTAGAATCCAGTTACAGTGGGTCAGTTGTTTTGATGATGATTGGTAAGTTTAATCTTCCAGCATATTCTTTGAATCCTGGTAAGACCTCCTAATTATTTCCTTAATTTCTGCTTGTTTGGTTTGGGTTTTGGCTTTTGCTACATGAACTGTGCCTTCTTTGCTTTTAGGTTCTTCAGTACTACGGAAAGTATATGCTCCCTTATTTTAAATATTTTTATTATTTTTATTATATTTTTATTTTTGTAAGTAGGCTCCACCCCCAATGTGGGGCTCCAACTAAATGATCCTGAGATCGAGAGTTGCACGCTCTACAAACTGAGCCGGCCTGGTGCCCCTGCTCTCTCCTATTTTAAAAATAATAAATAAGTAAATAGTAAATAAATAAACGTCTACTACCGATTGCCTTTAAGTTTTTCAAAGGCATTCTTTAATATATATTTCTTAAATTGAAGGAGTAAAAAGGTATCTTTTGAATCCTCCTATTTAAGGAACATAAGTTAACACACTGTAGTCAGCCACACCAGTTTGATTAACCTTTCTGAAAAGACTCCCAAGATTTTTATGCAGATTACTCTAAATTATTATGCTTTAAATAATATTTTCAACATCTTTTAAAACATTTTCTTTCAAAACAAATTTTCCTAGGGGCGCCTGGGTGGCTCAGTTGGTTAAGCATCTGATTTGGGCTGAGCTCATGATCTCATGGTCCTTGGGTTCGAGCCCTGCATCGGGCTCTGTGCTGACAGGCTCAGAGGCTGGAGCCTGCTTCGGGTTCTGTGTCTCCCTCTCTCTCTGCCCACCACGCCCCCCCCCACCCCCCCCTCCCGCCGCTTGCACTCTGTCTCTCTCTCTCCCTCTCAA